GGAAACCAAAAGCAACAGAAGTGAGATTCAGACAGGAAGTACAGTGTGTGTTATTGGCTGTGGAGTAACTTTGATGTACTGGAAATGCAGGGCAAGTCAAAGGCAGATAAGGAAGCTATCAAAGGTGGTGGTCATATTGGAGATAGCCCAGTTTGTTGAGCTATCAACAGTTTGGACACTACCAAGCTGTCAATTATTTAGGTCAAATGCATGGCAGGACTGAAGCTGTTTTGTAGGACTTTTAACCAACAGCAACATGTAGGAAAGTTTACAAGGGAGGAATTATATACAGCAATTAGTAGGCTGCTTCAGAAGGCTAGGTTCTGAGAGGCAGTGAAAGCTTGAACTAGGATTTAGACTGAAAACATGGGAAAAATGGAGCAGATGTGGAAAATACTATGGAAATGTCCAGTAAGTTGACCAGGTGATAGAAAGGCAGATCAAAGGAACATTCACATTTCAAGCCTGAGATGATGTGGGGGTATTAACTATAACGGGGGTTAAAGGTAGGGGCCAGAAATAAAGCATGTTGAATTTTGTTTGTTAAATTTACTACTTCCCAATCAGGAGTTAATGATCTCGGAATTGTAGACTTTTCATGTTAAAGGTGACTTTAAGAAGCATGTGTTCACACAAAATCATACTTGAGGGCACCTCTATTTTTTCCATATCTGTTCTCTTTAGTGAATATATTTTTATGGCTTGATTTTCATTTCTTGATAACTTGCAGAGTACTCTAAGCTGGTATCCTTTTTTTTTGTTCTGAAAAATGTTTATCAAATAGAGACTGCTCCATTTTCTAATCTTTAACCTGCAATTCCTAGCTATTCTTCTATATAACTATAGTTAAGTGACTCAGATCTCACAGCTAGTCCTCAAGCTAATCATGGATTATCTCACACTTTAATGTAAATATTTTTATGCTACTAGGAGTGTACATGTCGCTGATGACTTATGGGAACAAAAGTCAGATACTTCTAAAAATAGCCAATACCCAGTTTTTGTGAACTATGAAGGTATAATAAGTAAGGGGTCAAAATGAATGTAGATGAATGGGAAAGACATTTTTCCAGAATATGCGGGGTTTAAACATAACATAGATGTAAAAGCTCCCTGATGTTATATTTTCCAAACATCCCAGCATTGAAATTCTCCAATTTCTCTTGAATTAAGTCCTAAAATTTATAACCACAAAATAGCCAGAATCTCAAGGCTTTGCTTTTAGATTTCTCATCTGCTACATGTAATACTGCAAACAAATTTACCTGAGCTCTATGTATCTAATAATCATTCAGCTTCATGTGGATTTTATTCCAGTCTCACAGCTTTTAACTGGAAATAAAAGAAGTTCAGGGTCATATTCAAAAGTAGAAGAATAAGAAGCTTCCTGATAGTGTGAACTCAGTGTCTAAATCTAACAATAGTTAAGACTAATTTCATGCTTATACTTTATACCAAGTTGTATTAAGTACTTGAAACATGTATCATCTCATGTAATCCTTTCACTACCCTTGTGGTGTTGGTATTTTATTTTCCATATTTCACAGATAAAGAAAGAGATTTAGAGCATAAGTTGCCCAAGGTCATGTAGCTTGGACACACAGATCAAGGACTTGCATTTACATCTATTACTGAATTACTAATCATCCCCAGTATTGACACACAGACTCAGGTCTAAATAAAACCAGGTAAATTGCCAGACCAGTCGAATAAATGCAGTGAAATAACAAAATCTGCCTGGAATTGGAATGTGGAGTAGTGAATGATCCTGGACAAATGGTTGCTGAAACCCCCAAATCAAATCAAAGGGAACTTTAGGCATTGTAGAGTCTGTAGCTTACAAAAAACCAGAGTCTTCCACTGAAATATTCCACACATTTGAAGTTAACTACATTACATGTTTTCAGTAATCAGATTGGCAAAAGGAAGCCACTCTCATGGACTTATATTTGGATTTTTTCTTTTAAGCAGCTCTCATCTTCCTCATGTATAACATGACAGCTTCCCTGGAGAGAATACAAATGAAGAAATTTGACTGGAACCCCCAGTCAGGACAGTGATGCCACTTTTCTGTCATCAGTAAACTGGTATATTCTGTGTACTTGCAAGAAAAATGGCTACTATATATAAAAAATAGAGCAATGGCTTACCACAGTTCCCGCTCAGAAACACCTTTCCGCATATCAAGAGGAATTTTGCCTTATGCTCACCTACTTCTGCATTCGTAGCGATGATCAGGCTTTGTGGGCACCTTGAGTCTTTGGAGTGACCCGCCCTCCTCTTTTTTGAAATTTGGCTTCTGCTCTGCTTTTAGAAGAGAGCAGGTGGTCTTGCCTCCATTTGCAGATAGGAGAACAGAAGAGCATCCCATCTGATCATCTTTTGGCTTTTGGTGTTTCTGCTATCAGAAGGAGCATGATCAAGTCACCGTGTCCTACTCAACATTTTATTTTAGACCTGGGGATCCCATGGGCACAGTAATTTTTGAAGGGTTCTGGGCTATGCCTTTGTTTCACACAATTAGACATCGGATAAACTCAATCAGGATCAATAACCTAATCCAAAATTTTAAAATTTGAACTACTAAGAGTGTAACTGTTGAATGTGTAAAATATAAAATACTTATTTTAAATTGAAATCCTAACAGGTTGTTCCTGACACCAACAGCCTATTCTAGCACATCCCATTCACCTTCTTAGCTCTGGTCCAGAAATTCTCTTGGTGAGGGTCTTGACAGTGCCATAGCCTCCCAAATTCAGTAGGAAAATAAATGTTCTTAGTATTAACAGTTCTTAGTATTTTATTAAAGAGTAATCAAAGTTAAAGGACTCAAGGGAAGGCAGCCATGATTGAAACTTTTTGTTTTCTCTCAAGAGCCCTATTCTGAAGCACTCAAGGGGGAAACAGATGTGAATGGACTTTCCAGTGGGAGACAGAGAACAACCAGAAGGAATCTATCCTTTATAAATAGGTCAAGGAAAAACAAATTTATCCATTCTACCGAATTTATCAATACCCAGACCCTGACATGAATAAATCTTCATAGCATATATATATATATATACCTATTTAAAACGAAGAGTGCAATTTGAAGATGAGAAAGAGGAGACCCAGTAGTAGCTGGTGTTGATCCCAAAGAGAAGAGACAAGAGTATTTACAGAGGTGTGAGGGCAGTCTCTCTGTTTCTGGCCTCAGGTTTCCTATGGAGGGGGGTTCACTAGAGTAGCCCCCATCCCCTAGTGGTTCCTTCCCCAAATCCTTACTCATTCCTTCCTAGTGGACGTAGGTGATTTATCTGATTCATCATCACACTTTAGAGTCACTGAACTTTATCACCAATGAACAAATTAATCTGGTGAGCAAAAGACTAAAGAGATGCAACACTTAATTAGATCAACCTACAAAGCATCTGGTGTTGTCTAGGAAGGAAACAGGTGTCAGTGGTGACATATTTCAACCCTATTGCACAAATTTACAGGAGAGCACCCACAATCCACACATGACTATGACTGCCACACCTACATCAAGCTGGGAATCAGAAAATCTGCAGTGGTGGCAGCTGAGAAATTAAATAGAAAACTGGGAATCACTAGAGATTTTATTGTTTTCCTATGGAATTCCCATATGTGGGTAAGAGTCCCAAAAAGAAGGTGAGTGAGTTTAGATTGAAGACTATGGTTGACATTGTTGCCCAAAGGGCAGGATGGTGATGCTCAAAAGGCCATGCCAATTCAATGCCAACTGGGTCAATAAAAATCTGTCCATCTTTTTTTTGTTCTTATTAGGTATGTGTACACTACATGTATATGTGAATATATAAATATTTAGAACATTTATCAACATATGTATGTTAATATTCATAGTGTATATACTTGTATACATATGTAATGAATATAGTATATAGAGAAAAATATTAAACAAACATATAAAAAGTAGAGAAAATATTATAATGAATTCCCATGTACCCCTAATCCAGCTCCACAAATATCTACTGTGGTTAATCCGGTTTTAAGACCCCCACTCTTTGCCCCTACCCCCTTCCTGATTATTTGGAGAGAAATCCCAGAAATTACATTATTTCATCTGTCAACATATCAGTATTTGTCTTTAAAGGCAAGAGCTCCTCTTTTAAATATAACCACAATACCACTGTCACACTTCATCCAAGTGAAATTAATAACTCTAGGATTTTTAATTGAATCTTATATTGTATTACCTTTCTCCCAGACCAAAATCCTGGTTTTTGATAACACCAACATCATCACAATTTCTTTCTTTATTATATAGATGGCACACATAATTGGCTTAATACTACCACTAACAATCTGATTGCTGGAAAACAGTGTTAAGTTTTTGTTTTTTTTCCCACAGTTCTTTTTCTGCTAAGGTATTTGCTTTCAAATTACTGTGCTTTATATTTGGAATAGTTATATATCAGCCCCACCAACTGGAAACACAGATTCATTCTATTTCAATTTGCTTTTGATGTTTAGAGTTTGCTTTTTCAATTTTAATTTTGACTTATAATTATGTGTAATATTTACATGATTCTGAAATCAAATCCACAAAACAACTGATATCCATGGAACTTTAACTTCTGCTTTTGTCTCTTCCATATAACTCCCTCTCTATTTAGGTTAACTCCTTTATTGTTATTATTATTTTATAATTTAAAATAAATACATTAAGTATAGCCTGTCATACTATCTACACTTTTCTTCATTTTGCCTTTTTTAATTAACAATATATTCTAGAAAATATTCCATAGTAGTATGCAGATACATTGATCGTTGCTATGATAAATGCATAGATTTCTATTTTGTTGATGTACCAAAGTTTATTCAATTTATCGAGTACTATTATGAGCTGAATTGTTTCATCACAAAAAAAATATGTTCAAATCCTAACCCCTGGTAACTGTGAATGTGACCTTATTTATAAATAGGGTCTGTGGAGATATTATCAAGTTAAGATGAAGTCATGTTCATATCTTATGTAGATCCTAATCTGTTATGACTGGCATCTTTATAAGAAGAGGAAAGACACACATGGGGAGAAGATGGCCATGTGACAACTGAGCAGATATTGGACTGATGGATCTGTAAGTCAAGGAAAACCAAGGATTGCTGGCAAACACAGAAGCTAGAAGAGGCAAAGAAGGTTTCTTCCCTGCAGGTTTCAGAGGGAGCATGGCCCTGCCAACACCTTGAATTCAGACTTCTGCTCTTCAGAACTGTGACATAGTAAGTTTCTGTTGTTTTAAGCCACCCACTTTGTAGTAATTTGTTACAACACCCCTAGAAAACTAATAGACCCAGCGATGGCTGTTTCGATGATTTCTAATCTTTCACTATTTCAAACAAGGCTGGCATAAAAATCTTTGTGAAGACATTGTTTCATGTTTTTGCCATAGTACTTTGGAAGGATTCTTAGAAATGAGATTTCTGGTCAAAGGCTAAGTGCTTGTATAGGTTTGGAAGACAGTGTCAAATTCCCTCCCATAGGGGTCTATCATTTTGTATTGCCATCAGTGATTTTTAGAAATGTCCATTTCCCCACACTTAAAATTTTACTAATCTAATAGGTAAAAAATGGTTTCTCAATGTAGTTTTAATTGTCTCTTATTAATAAGGCTGACCATATTTACATAAGGTTAACAGCCATTTCTTTGTATTTCTTTTTTGTGAACTGTTTATTTATCTTGCACATTTTTCTATGGGGATAAATATCTCCTTTCACATATCTAGAAGTTGTTTTTGTATTAGGGTTGTTAACCATTTGAGTTATGTTGCAAATGATTTTCTCAGTTTCTTATTTGTCTTTATTTGCTTATGAGGGGTTATTTATTTATTGCCATCTTTAAAGCATTTTAAAACTCTTTACTTCTTGATGAACAGTTTTATCTATTGTCATTCCATGGAGAATATAGATACCTTTATTAAGGATAAAAGACAATATAGATTTTTTTTAATTTCAAAAATCTTACTGCGTGTTATTGGTTCCATGCTTAAAGTTGATTCTGACGAAGCCTGTCACAATCCTAACTGTATAGCCTATGGCCTTCAGGTTAGTAAAGGAATCTTTGCTTGAATTAAATTGTTCTCATCAGTGTTTGGTGTGTGGATAGAAAGTGCTAGATTGACTATTAGTAAAGAATGAATCATCAGTTAGACATTTAAAAAATACATTGTTTTTAAAATGCCTTCAGTTGACATCTAAACATGCCATACAAATACTGTAACAATTCAACCTTTATCCAATATTGAACATTTATTAAGTATGGGACTTATAAATATATATGTATTCTTCCAAGGGAATTTGTCATCTAAAATTGATCTGTTTTATCCAGAGCCTGCAAGTAATTATCTCTATAACCTAGAACAACTATGCTTTGGTTCCTATCTCTCTAAGATGAAGTGGTTGGAATTAAATATTTCTGAAGCCCATTCCAACTCTAAAATGTGCTAATCTGCTTCTGTGATGAGGATCTGACATTTTTCTTAGAAAACCCTTTAACCAATTTTACATCTTTATTAGTACTTTTAATGTGTGCAAAAATCCACTCTAGCACCTCTCTCTTGATAGATAAAAAACTGAATTTCACATTGTTTCCTCCCCTCCTGTGCTGCAGAGTGAATGGCCTGAGTGTATGCCTATCATAGAGTGGTGGTTCCGGAGTACAGGTCAGGTCAGTACATCAGTACAGGCAGTGAACTCATTTCAGGGGCCATGATGTGTGTACATATGAGAGTGCACACACACACACGCACAAACACAAACACACACACACACACACACACACACACACACACACACACACACCCCTCTGGCAGAAACTCTCCTTCAAGAGGAGCTGTGGAGTGTTGCTTTCCTCCCTCTAGGTGACAAGGAGGAGAGGGAAGGGTGAGGAAGCAGATTCTCCAGATTTGTCCTGAACTGACATTCTTACTGATAACTTCCTGGGCCCAATTTGGAGATAAAAATTCAGTTAATGCTGACCACCCAGGATAAAAGGGCCCTGCCACTCCTTCATGCCTATTCTCTTCCTTTATACAAGTTATATTTTAAAATCATATGCTTTATGTTTGTTTATATGTTTACTATTTATGTTTGGGACTAGATTCTAAGCTCTGTAGGGACAAGGATTAGATTTTATTTTATTCTAAACTAGTGGCTATTTAATGAGTATTTCATTTTAAATTTTTTTGTATTTTAAATCAGAATTTAATAATGATAGAAATTAAATAAAATTTCATTTTACCTGTTCCTCATGGGTTCCATATTTGTGAATTCATCCACCTGCTATGGTTTATTTATAACCATAATCAGTCCCAGGTTGCATGAGCAGTCAGTCACTCATGGATGTGCATGCTCACAGACTGGTGACAAAGTTGTTACCTGACACACACGTTCCCAGCTGAGGTGGAGCAAGGAAACGCCTTCTTGTTTAAGCACTCACACTTTAAACTGTCCTTTTTCAGGATCCGTTAAGTGTTACACTTTCTGAATTTTTTGTTCTTCTTGTTGATAGTTTCACTGTTTAAAATGGTCCCTGGGTGTGGTGCTAGCATGCTGTCTAGTGTTCCGAAGTGCAAGAACGCTGCAATGTGCATTATAGAAAAAGATACCTGTGTTAGGTAAGCTTCATTCAAGTATGAGTCATTGTGAATATATATTAAGTAAGGTGTCTTTAAACAGAAACACACAAAAACAAGGCTAACTATTGATTGATTGATGAAAATGTGAGCTGAGACTCACAGGAACCTAACCCCATATTTCCTCTGTGGGGCAATGAGTCAGTGTTTACCAATTTAGTAATTGTGGAGGATTCACAGCACATAATTACCATGGACAATGAGACCCAACTGTACTTAAATTTCATTTTTTTAAAAATATACAAATACTGAATGAATATCTATACTTGGCACATAGTGGGTCTGTAATAAATGTTTATTGAAGGAATGACTGAATAAGTGATGATGGTTGTGATCAGAATCATGATCTTGATAGATGGGCTTTTTCAGGTCATAGTGATTAGGTCAGTAGTCACTAATTGGTGGGATGGATTGTGCCACGTGGAAAGAACTTGTCATATAATCATAGCATATCTCTACCATTTGCGGGCTGAATTGCCTCCAATAAATCCCTTATCCCTGCCTCCTCATTGATAAAATAATGGTTGTGGCTCTTACTTAGCAAGATCATGACAGGCTCCTAGTACAGAGCTTTTTGTTAGTTAGTATGAAAGCCCTGCCCAGGCTAGTTATGATTACTGATGATAAGACTGCAGGTCTGGAAGTCAGGGGCCTCAGCTTGAGGCAAACTCAGTGTGAGAAGTTGACTCACTTCTTCCCCTGATCAATGTCTATCTCAGAGTTCTTTTATAAAATGAACATGTCAGACTGGATGATTCCCAAGGACTTTTATGACAATAGCCTTCTAATAACCTATGTTACAACAGACTTGAGCTCTGAAGGGATTTCAGGGAGGTTGTGAATGGATCATAAATTAATCTTAGATTCAGGACAAAGACAATGCCATTGTCCTAGACCTGGAATGATCTTGATTTTGTTATGGCCCTTGTAAACTGATTGTCTCCATGGGAAACTCTCTGTTTGCATGATATTCTCTACTTCAGGAGCTAAAGGTTAATAACAATGAAACTTCAGACCTTCCCTGAAGTGTGAAATGGTGCTCCGAAGAATGAAGAATGAAGGAATATCTCAGAGCCATTGAGATCAGTGCCCAAGAGGATGACAAAATTAGGAAGTTAAAAATAAAGATACACTGAAGCACCGGCTTCATTTACTTATTTGTATATAGCTCCAGAGATAGGTCAAAATATTCACATACATCAGTGAACTGTCTAAATTTTATAAAGCTCAATTTTGAAGGGGCACTAGTTGTGGCATATAGATCAAGTCACATGGATCCTGAGCTTCCATGTCTTCAGCAGTGAATTGGTGGTGACAAGACCCTGCTTTAGCTACTTCATAGTGTAACAAATAAGACATACACTTTGTAAACTCATGGTAAATATCTCATAAGTGCTATTTAGTATAACTTAGTGGAAACTTAATATTATATAATGACAATGGCATATGACTCTATTGAATACATATCAAAAGCCAAAAGAAAAACTCTTTAAAGTTTCATTTTGATTCATTGCTTAATAAATTGACCAATAGCGACAGCATTCTTCAATGAACTGAAACAAATAATTCTAAAATTCATATGGGATGACAAAAGACCCCGAATAGCCAAAGCAATCCTGAGAAGGAAGAATAAAGCTGGGGGGATCTTGCTTCTCAACCTCAAGCTCTACTACAAAGCCACAGTAATCAAGACAATTTGGTACTGGCACAAGAACAAACCCATAGATCAGTGGAACAGAATAGAGAGTCAGATATTAACCCAAGCATATATAATTAATTGATTAATCATACAATTAATATGGTTAATTAATATATGATAAAGGAGCCATGGATATAAAATGGCGAAATGACAGACTCTTCAATAGCTGGTGTTGGCAAAACTGGACAGCTACATGCAAGAGAATGAAACTGGATTATTGTCTAACCCCATACACAAAAGTAAATTCTAAATGGATCAAAGACCTGAATGCAAGCATGAAACCATAGAATTCTTAAAAAAAAACAAAGGCAAAAATCTCTTGGACATAAACATGAGCAACTTCATGAACATATCTCCCTGGGCAAGGGAAACAAAAGCAAAATGAACAAGTGGGACTATATCAAACTAAAAAGTTTCTGTACAGCAAAGGACACCATCAGTAGAACAAAGAGGCATCCTACAGTATGAGAGAATATATTCATAAATGACAGATCCGATAAAGGGTTGACATCCAAAATATATAAAGAGCTCACACACCTCAACAAACAGAAAGCAAATAATCCAATTAAAAAATGGGCAAAGGAGCTGAACAGACACTTCTCCAAAGAAATTCAGATGGCCAACATACACATGAAAAGATGCTCCACATTGCTAGTCATCAGAGAAATGCAAATTAAAACTACAATGAGATATCACCTCACACCATTTAGGATGGCCAACATCCAAAAGACAAACAACAAATGTTGGCGAGGATGTGGAGAAAGGGGAACCCTCCTACACTGCTGGTGGGAATGTAAATTAGTTCAACCATTGTGGAAAGCAGTTTAGAGGTTCCTCAAAAAACTCAAAATAGAAATACCATTTGACTCAGGAATTCCACTCCTAGGAA